TATGATGCTGCTTGGCCTGCTGTGTTCATCCAGCCCTGCACCTTGTTGTCGCAGTATTCCAAATGTGGTCGAACCAAAGTCCTATACAACTGTAACATGACCTGCCAGCATGACCTGTGGAATTAACTTCCTGATGAAGTGGTGGATGCGGGGACAATTACAATGTTTAAAAGACATTTGGATGGATATATGAATAGGAAAGGTTTGGAGGGATATAGGCCAGGAGGAGGCAGGTGGGACTAGTTTAGTTTGGAATGATGTTCAGCATGGACTGGTTGGATCGAAGGGTCTATTTCTACACTGTATGACTCTATGACTCAATGATTTCCACAGGGGTCAGTGTTGGGACCACAATTTTTCATGTTGTAGATTAATGATCTGGACAAAGGAACAGAAGGTGTTGTCGCTAAGTTTGCAGATGGCACAAAGATAGGGAAAGGGACAGGCAGTGTTCAGAAAGCAGGGATGAAGCAAAATCATTTGGACAGATTAGGCGAATGGGCAAAGAAGTGGCAGATGGAATGAAATGTGGTAAAATGTGAGGTAATGCACTTTGGTAGGAAGAATAAATGAGGAAAGGCGTCAGAATACTTGCCTCAAGAAGCTTGACACAATCTCAGATACAGCAGCCAGCTTGATTCGTGCTTGATCCAGTAACTATTTGTGACTCCTCAGATACCAAAGCAGTTCAAGTCCAAATGTAGCAAGACTCAGACAACCCAGCTTGGGTTGACATTTGGCAAGTCACATTTGCACAAGGCAAATGCAAGGCGATGACAATTTGCAATATGAGCGGCACAATGGCTCAGTGATTAGTACTGCTGCCTCACAGTGCCAGGGACCCATGTTTGATTCTAGCCTGAGTGTTGGACTGTGTGGATTTTGCATGTTCTCCCCGTGTCTGTGTGGATTTCCTCTGGGTGCTTCTGTTTTTTCTCACAGTCCAAAGATGTGCTATTACGTGGATTGCCATGGTAAATGCAGGGTTATGGGAATAGGGTGGGATGCTCTTTGAAGGATCAGTGCAGACTTGATAGGCCAAATGGCCTCTTTCCACACTGTAAGGATTCTATCATCAATGAAAGAATATAATCTTCATGCCTTGACATTCAATGGCATTGCCACCGCTGAATCCTCCACTATCAACATCCTAGAGGTTACTATTAGTGAGGAACTAATCTGGACTAGCCATATAAATCCATTGGCTGCAAGAGCAAGTCAAAGACTCGGAATCCTGAAATGAGTTATCACACCTGACTCCCCAAAGCCTGTCCACCATCTACAAGGAGTGTGATGGAATACACCTCAATTGACTTGATGACTGCAACTTTAACTAAATTCATCCAGGGACAAGTCAGTTAGTATATTCAAGAAAGAGAAAGATAATTTTTTTGATTTTAAAGGCATCAAGGGCTATAGGGAGAAAACAGGAATATAGCATTGAGATACAGGATCAGCCATTATCATGTTAGATGGTAGAGCAGGCTCAATGAACTGAATGGTCCACTCCTCCTAGTCTATATCAATCAATATTTCTATCATGCAGCCTACTTGATTGACACCACATACTCAAAGTTTGCACCTCCAGCACTGATACTTAGTGGCAGCAGTGTGTACCATCTACAAGATGCATTGCAGAATTTTACCAAGGCTGTTTAGGCAGCATCTTCCAAACCCTCCATCTACAAAGACCTGAAATGTTAACTCTGTTTTTTCCGTCACAGATGCTGCCGGACCTACTGAGCTTTTCCAGCAACTTCTGTTTTTGTTCCTGTTTTTGCCAGTGATGCCTACATTCCTTTAGTACATTTAAGAAAGTGTCAGTGCTTTTTGCTATTTCCCTTGTCAAATCAGAACCATTCACACTATTTGTAAACATGATCTATCTAATCAAGGTTCTACAGACGTTTAGATCTCTGCTTGGAGTTCTTTTAAACTCCAAATGTGTCCAATCTATTTGATTATTCATATCGACTATTGCTTATGTGAAGAATCCAAAAAGGTTGACTAAGTACAACTACTTTTGCAATCCATGCTGATTGTATTATATTTTCAGGACTTAGATATTTTTCTGTTATAGCTTTGAGTAAGAACTGGCAGCATTAAGTTAATTTCTCCATAGTTTAAACTTGTTCTTTTAAAATGTAGAAGATCTGATAAAAAATCAAACAAATATGCTGACCTCCTTGCACTTAATCTTTACTGATACAATAGGCAAAACACATCCTTTTCTGTTGTGTGTTATCCAGTATTTCTTCTGCTTAATTTAGTTTCTAATTCTGATTCCAGCACTATCAAATTAATAAAGAGGACCCACCTCTTGCAAGAAACATGCCTCCGATAGCTGGAAAAATACTGTGGGTGAGACAGCTCTTCAAACGTATTCATGAGCCCATTGACTATTTCTATGTAAGTAATTTTATTGTGAAATTGTTAAATAACAGTTCAACTGTATAGATGTAAGAGCCAGGCATCAAATAATTTCTGAAACAGAATTAGGGTTTGTGCAAGTGTTCCAGGAAGGTTTTATTGCCTGAAAGCAGATGCTGCCATTGGAAACTTAGCCTTTCTGGAAAAGTGGAGCAGGCTAATTGTTATGATACTCTGTTTGTGAGTTCATACTTATACAATGACAGCCATAAGTTTTTGTTGATTAGCACCTCATTATAGTGACCAGGGATATATTTGGATTGTGGTAAATTTAAAAATGATTTGCAGCAAGAAAAACAAAAACTTCTGGAAAACAAACAATCACAGATAAGTGTATCTGTCAAGAAATAAATAATGTTTTGTGTCTAATATTACTTTTCTTTGGACTTGGAAGAATAACTCTGATTGAGATTTTGGAGTTAAATATGGTGTCAGGTATGTTAGTGATTGTCACTTCCTGCATGGCCTGGAGTGTATTTCCTCACAGGATCAACTGCTTTTCAGCTCATTACACATGCAAACGGATTGTTGCACAAGTTGAACAATAAGTCATATGGATCAGGCAGCCAGGAAGTTCTCACCCTACTGGGTGAGATTTTAAAGGCCATATGGACAGGCCTTCATTTACTACAGGTCAGCAGGAAGACTAGAGGTTATGCTAATCATCCCCATTCACCCTGGAGATGCCTCAGAGCACAAATACACTTCTCAAGGTTAATGAAACCTCGCTGGAGGGTATACTTTAGACCATCCAGGAAAGAAGAGATGTCCTCAACCAAGGGATGGTAACTTGAGGCTCTTCCACCAGACCTGTATGTCCAGGAGAAAGTTAAAAGGCAAATCAGTTCCAGTTGCTTGCACAGGAGTACTTGGATCCAGCAAGTAAAGGATAAACAATCTCTGAAAGTCTAAGTGGTACCATCTTTTCACTGTAAACTCACTTTCATAAGGGCATCATTCGTTCTAACTATGTCACTGCACAGATGTATCATAGAGCAATTGCCTGCAAGCCTCAGCGTCGATGGAAGATGTGCACTGACTGTCTGGCAGCTGACCTTTGCAGTCACTGTTCTGATATTTCCTGGAAACCGTGTCCATGATTAGTTGCTGTGGAGGGCCTAGGACCTGACATGGGCCATGAACTCTCATCAAGAGCTAATGCCATTACATTCAATCTTCTTTCTTTGTTTGCAGGATAAGATTGCTAACCACAGGATGGAGAGGCCTAAACCTGGCAGAGGGTGGGTGGATATAAATCACCAACTCAAATGAGGAGCAGGTTACAGATCTGGCCATTCCTCTACTAGTTGGGCAATAGGACTGCTATGAGAAGCCAGTGAGGACCATAGCGGTCTGTCCTTCTCAGATAGGCAGGCAGTGTCACATGGTAGTTTATATAAGGGATTGTGCATCTTCATCAACTAATTCACAGGAGCATAAGAACAAAATTAGGCCTTTCAGATTATCAAGCCTATCCTGCCATTCTAAAACATGGCTGATCATCTCAATGCCATTTTTTCACACTATCTCCATATCTCTTAATATCACAAATCTCCAGAAACATTTCAATTTCAACCTTGAACTTACTCAATGATGACCTTCCACAGTCCCCTGGAAAATTCCAAGGATTCACCACTCTCCAAATGAAGAAATTCCCCCTTATCTCTGTCTTAAACAACTGTTATTCTGGAACTATGTCCCACAATTCTAGATATGATCAACTAGTTGGAAACATCTATATCTACTCTGTCATGCCCTGGACAAACATTGTAAATTTCAATGAGATCACCTCTCATTCTTCAAATGTCTAAGGATCACAGACCCATTTTCATGAATACTTTTCATGAGATAATTCCGCCATCCAAAAAATTAATCTGGTGAATTTCCACTGAACTTCCTGTATGATATGTCTTTCTTAGATAAGGAGACCAAAACTCTAAACAGTATTCAAGGTGAAATCTCACAAGGCTCTGGAAAGGTGCAGTAATATACCTTTACTCCTGTATTCAGATCCCTTTTAAATGGATGCCAATATATCTTTTGCCTTCCTGAATGCTGGCTTTTATCTTTGCACCAACATATGAGAAATACCTGACCTTCAACCTATCCCATTTACCAGCATTTGACCCATAGCCTTGAATGTAATGACATACTAAGTACTCATCTAGGTACTTTTTAAAGGATGTGAAGCAATTTGTGCCTAACATCCTCCCAGGCTGTGCATTCCAGAGCGCCACCACCCTCCGGATAAAAATGTTTTTCTGTAATCCCCCCTAAAACTCCTGCCTCTCACTATGTCCCCTCGTGACTGTCTCTTCAACTAACTTCTTGTCCACTCTGTCCATGCCCCTCGTAATCTTGTACACCTCAATCAGATTGTCCCTTGATCTTCTCTTCTCCACTGAAAATAAGCGAAGCCCATCCAAGCTTTCCTTGTAGCTTAACTTTTCCATCCCAGGCAACATCCTGGTAAATCTCCTCTGCATCCCGTCCATTTCAATCACATCCTTCCTGTAATGTGGTGACCAGATCTGCATACAGTACCCTAGCTGTGGTCTTACCAAAGTTCTATGCAATTCCATCATGCCTTTGCTACTTTTGTAATCCATGCCTCAATTGATAGAGGCAAGAGTCTCATATGCCTTTTTCAACATGATCAGCCATGTTTTAGAATGGCAGGGTAGGCTTGATAGTCTGAAAGGCCTAATTTTGTTTCTATGTTCCCGTGAATTAGTTGATGCCCTTCCACCTTCAGAGATCTATGAACAAGCATGTCAAGGTCCCTTTTTCCCACAGAACATTCCTGTACCATGATTCCTTTAGATACCTGCATTTCCCAACCTCTCACCATTTAAAAATTATTCTTTCTTTCTGTATTTTTCTGTTAAAGTGAATAACATCAGACTTATTCACAGAAAATTCAATCTGCCATGAACTTCCCCTTTCTAAATCCTCTTGAAATGTCCTTGCATCCTCCTCATAAGTTGTATTCCTATCCAGTTTGGTATTATCAGCAAATTTAGAAATATTACAATTGATTCCCACATCCAAATCATTTATATAGATTGTGAACAGTTGTAAATCTAGCACTGATACTTGTGGTATCCCACTAGTAACAAGAAGGGGCAGAGATGGAAGTCAGTGGAATGGTATGCTTCTCCTGTCAGATGTGGGAGATTAGGGAGCAGTCCCTGGTGATTATGTCTGCAGAAAGTGTGTTTGGCTGTAGCTCCTCTCAGACTACATGGATCGGTTGGAGCGGCAGTTGGATGCACTGAGGAGCATACAGGGTGTGTGATGGATAGTAGGTTCAGGGAGGTGGTCACACCACAGGTTCAGTTGGGTAGATGAGTGACCACTAAGAGAGGCTGGCAGGTCTCCTGTGTCTATCCCTCTCTCAAACAAGCATACCATTTTGGCGAACAAAGTGTGGAGCTGGAGGAACACAGCAGGCTAGGTAGTATCAGAGGAACAGGAAAGCTGACGTTTCGGGTCGGGACCCTTCTTCTTCATTCCAGGGTCCTGACCCAAAGCGTCAGTTTTCCTGCTCCCCTGATGCTGCCTGGCCTGCTGTGTTCCTCCAGCTCCACACTGTGTTCTCTCTGACTCCGGCATCTGCAGTTCTTGTTATCTCATACTGTTTTGGATACTGTTTGGTGGGGGGAATAACCTCTCTGGTGACAATAACAGCAGAAGCCAGGTCTTTGGCACCACATCTGGCTCTGCTGTGAAGCAGGGTAATACAAAGTTCAAGAGAACAACTATGATGTGGGACTCTGTGATCAGGGTCACAGACAGGCATTTCAGTGGCCGCAAGTGAGATTCCAGGATGGTGTATTGCCTCCCTGTTGCCAGGGTTAAGAAAGTTGGAAGCAGTTGCAGTAAATTCTCAAAGGGGGGCATGAGCAGCCAGAGATTGTTGTGCACATTGGTACCAACGATAATGGTAGAAAAAGGGATGAGGGTCCTGCAGAGTGAATAATGGCAGTTAGGCAGGAGGTTAAAAAGTGTAAACTACTGGTGCCATGTGCAATTGATAGTAGGACTGGAAGGATAAAGCGGATGAAAGCACAGCTGAGGAGTTGTTGCAGTGGGCAGGGATCCAGATTTTTGGATGATTGAGGTCTCTTCTGGGGCAGAAGTGACCTGTACAAGATGGATGTGTTGCATCTGAACTGGAGGGAGACCAATATCCTAGTGGGATGATTTGCTAGAGCTATTTGTAAAGGTTTAGTCTGGCAGGGGTGTAGGTCCCTAAGCTGTGGTGAGACTGGCACAGACGTTAAAGAGACCAAGTTAAATAGACAACACAGGCAAGAGCATGGCAGAGAACGAAGGAAGACTGATGAATTAAAATGGATTTATTTCAATGCAGGAGGCCTAACAGGTAAGGCAGATGAACTCAGGGCATGGATAGGAACATGGGACTGGGATATCGTAGCAATTACAGAAATGTGGCTGAAGGAGTGACAAGACTGGTAACTCAATGTTCCGGGATATAGATACTACAGGAGGGATAGAAGGGGAGGTAAGAGAGGAAGGAGATTAGTGTTTTTGATTCAGAAAAACATCACAGCAGTAGTTGGAGAGGATACTCCTGGGAAATCATCCAGTGAAGCTATATGGGTTGTGCAGTGGTTGGAACGAGGTCAGCCAGGTGGACCTGATAGAATATGAGTTCCCTGATTGGGACTATTAACCCAGACCAATCAGGGAGTCCTGGCTGACAGATATAAACAGAAGTGTCAGGGGTTCTGCTCACATGACAGCTGGCTCTGAGCTAGCTGGGTCAGTGCCATGTACCATGCACGTGTAAATAAAGGGTGACTTGGTGATGGGCTTTCATGGAGTTATTTCACTGGCGACAATGGAAAAACATGCCCTAAAAGGTTTCGCTTTTAGTTGGAGTAAGCATTTCTGGCAGCATCATGCCACTATTTGGGAAGTTTGATTCGTTCTATCCTCATGTCGAAGACTGG